CTTTTCGAGCGTTGAAACTTTGCAAGGGTTGAAGATGGGACACCTCACCTTTGTCTTTCTTCCGACGAGTTCGATTTTTTCTTCGATCTGTATTATTGGAATGCCACGATAGCTCGCGACGCTCGCGCGAAACTAATTGTACGTCAAAACTGTTAGCCAAGAAGAGGAGGACGAAGAGGAGGACGAAGAGAAGGATGCTGAGAGGAAACGTAAGAAAGAGAAAAGAAAAGGAACATTGACAGGGAAGAGGGAGATTTGAGACGCCTCTGAAAATCGGGCGGAGCTTTCTGAACAGTAAAAGCATCTTCCTTCGGCTTGGCCACGGCCTCCTCTTTTGCTTTTCCTCAAAGTTCTCGCCCAATCGTCTAGTTCTGCGTCATCTGCAGCCACCTGGTCCATCCTTTCCTCTTCTATCCTCTTTTGAAGCGCATATCCACGAATAGCGCTTTTTTCCTATGGAATTGACCTTTGCTCCGAATGTTTTTCTTCCGGATATCCGTCTCGTTTTTTTAAGCAGTTATTGTCCCCTAAAATCCTATTTAATATAATTAAATGCATGAATTGAAAGTTAGATGTAATTGAGACTGATTTCAGAAATGAATATTTTGTGAAAGTTTTTTTATTTCATTAGAAGATAATTCTTTGGTAAAAATTTGATAATCTTTGCAATACGTATAGTTTAATTTTTATTAAATTTTCGTCAACCAATGCACAATGATTTCATTGTTTATGAATGGTATAGAATAAAGCCAATTTTATACATTGAACGAAAGATTTGAAGATAATGAAAAAGAAAACTTATTTTATATCCTTCGATTTTTACTACTAGTTTTTTATATCGTAACAAAATTTAGTAAAGTATTTACTTAACAGAATTCATTAACAACAATCATTTAGTGAGAAAAATTAGTTAATTCTTCACGATGGATTTCTCTTTGTATAAAACTATCTTTAATCATCTCCTATATTCTTTATTATCATAATCTTAATTTCGCTTCGAATTTTTTCCTAATTGGAAATTACTTTAAAAAAAGATTTCCTTTCAAATTTTTGTGAGTATCCTAGATACATATCTTAATTATATCATCGAATTAAATTAAAGGTATTTGTCTTATGATGAGATTAATTTTCTATTCCTCTTTTCTACTCAGTGTTACTATTTTTTTTTTTTCTCTTGCAAAGATTTCGTGTAGGAGGTAAGGGCCGATTGATCTATTAATCCGGTTTAAATCCTCGTGAACGGGCTGTCGACCATTTCGTTGAAAGGAGGATTCGAAATGGATCCTGTAATAGGAGGTTTGCGGTGACCCAGTTGATCCTACTTATCCTAAAGCAGGAGTTGACTTATTGCTCGACAGATTCGTGAAAGTTCCTTCGCAATTTGACTCCTTTCCGTGTAATTGACCATGTTCACTTCTCAAGATATTTGTAACTAAACATTTGTATAGGACGGAATTTCAAAAGCGTGAAAATTACTGTGATCTCAGATTTCATGAAGATACATTGATTTATTGGTACTCTTATTCACTAAAATATTAAACTAGTTCTCAGATATAATTTTAATAATTAATTCTGAAACAATATACTGTAGGTATATGATAATATTTAAAGATACAAATATATCATAATAAATACTATAAATTAAAAATACTTTAAAAATACTTTTAAGAGATTACAATATGATTAATTTCAATATAATAATTGTATCGACAAATATTTTTTACTTTTGTATGATTAAAAATAATTATACGTAAATAAGTATTATTAATATTCCACTAAATTGTTATTAAATTATTATTTTTCGAAGAATGGTTACAAGTAAATAATATCGAAGTGAAATTATGCCTTTGATAGAAATTATGGAAGATTTAATAAACATTTTTCTTTGGATACTTATTAAGTTTACATGAAGAATCATTTGTAATAAAGAAAAGTGGGAACTAGACATGAAAAGTAAAAATATTACATAGATAGATAAGTCGAAATTATTCGTTGATTCTCTGTTGTATCCTACAGTTATCGACATAGTTTCACATAGATGTCGACATTGCATTTGTCCCCGAGTGAAATATAAGTTGCTTGCAAAATTTTTAAAAGATACTTTATTTATAATAAAGTCGAATTGTTTATTTCTTATTAAATTATAATATTTTTCCTAATGCGAGCGTAATTTGTTTATAAGTACATATACTTTTGCAGATTCACGCAGGATATTGTAGTTTAGAGTTTCACGAAAGAGGGCGCTCGATGAGCGAGTAAATATGGCTGGCAAGATGCATCGAACGCATTTGCGAATCGTGAGTCGATTCGTACTCTTCGGTTGTTAATTTTTCATGACTTTCTCACGTGTGGTAATGTTTCATTTGTGTGTTTCTAAAATAGTTCTAAATTTCATTCAAAGTTTCTTAATATACAACGATTAAGTGACGAACGACGAAATAAAGATAACGTTACGAATATTGTAACGAACGTTCCGGAAGGTAGCTCGTCGTATAATTGAATTTTTAGCACGATCGGTCGTGTTTTTGAGAAAATAAGTAAGTACTACAATATCCATAATCAATAACTAAGTTATTGACTTCCGATTATTAATGGAATTGCGTACTTTAAAGAGGTTAGGTTGTATATTTGTATACGAAACGCGATGAAGTTTATTTTGTGAAAACAATTGTTTGTGTATTATTTGAGTCCAAAAGTTTATCTTTTTTTTATTAACAAATGCTGTATAAATTCTTGTGAAAGCTTTTAAAGTAAGTGTATATCTAAAATTTTATTTTACAAATAATATAGGTTTAAATTTTTCAATAACTCTTTGTTAATATAATGGAACATTAAACAATGACACTGTGTTAATTAATTTAGATTGGATTCGATAAATATATAATATGCTTTCTTTATAGTTATCATAAAAGTAAAGTTTTAATTATATAAGTATGACTGAGGAACATCAATTGCCTTCTGACTCTGATGAAGATGATGAAGATTATGTTCCCGATGGTGCAGACAGTGAGCCTGTGTCTGAAGTAGAATCCGAAGGTGATGCAGAAAGTGGTCCTGAGGATGAAAATGATGAAAACAAAAGAGAAACAACAAAGAGAAGAGGAAGAAAAAAGAACAAAGTCGTAAAGTCTAAAATTAAGAAGCAGAGAAGGACAAGAAAAAAAGTAGAAGATGAGGTTGATGAAAAGCTAGAGGAGGAAGAGGAAGAAGAAGGATCAAAAGAGAAAAAGGAACTTACAGAAGAAGAAGAGAAAAAGAGAGCTGACTCTCTTTGGGCTGACTTTATGAAGGATACAGGTAAATAATTTAAGCCATAAATCGATTAGCATTGCTGAATTATACGTACATTGCTGTTATTTTACCCATTATTGTATTTTTAATTTCTAAAGCGACGGTACCTAAATCTAAGCCACAAAGCGCGACAAATAAACCAAAAGAGAAATCACCACCCATAGAAAAGCCAAAAGTTGAAGAAAAAGTAAAGATAACTAAGGTATTTGAATTTGCTGGTGAAGAAGTGAAGGTTGAGAAAGAAGTCTCGATAGACTCTGCGGAAGCAAGACTATCTTTATCCTCTGCTGAAAATTCTGAGAAAACAGGAAACCCTGGTCCTCCTGCAGGAAGAGGATCCGGAAGGGGTAAAGGTTTTAAACGGGCTGGTTTGGGAGGTATTTCTTCTGTCCTTGGTCAATTAGGAAAAAAGGCGAAAATTAGTACTTTAGAAAAGTCCAAGTTGGATTGGGACAATTATAAGAAACAAGAAAATTTAGAGGAAGAAATTAGTACTCACAACAAAGGTAAAGACGGATATTTAGAACGTCAAGATTTCTTACAGAGAGCAGATTTGAGACAGTTTGAAATTGAAAAGCAGTTACGTAATGCGAACAGACGCAGTACACGGTGAATTTATATTTTCATGTATACGTATCTTTTCCCTAACAATGAGAACCAGGGATGGTATCGAGATAAATACCTTATTAGACTTGCCAATTATCGGCGCTTATAGCACCTATTTAATCGAATTGTTTAAACTCTTATTAAATATCTCATGCCATATGTAAAAATGTGATTGCCTCGCTTGGCTTGACAATCAGCTGAATCTGTTTAAGAAGCGGTTGAGAGCCAATTCTGTGAGAAGAGACTGATCATTCCAATGTATTGAAGATAACATAGTATGTTACGTAATAGTTTAATTTACCATCCGCGAGCTTCGTCTCGATTCGTTATATCACAGAACTTCGCATCGAAGCAGGATGTTTGAAGCTTGGTGCTTCAGAGACCGACGATATACATATATTTTAACAATAAACAAGCTCCAGAGATGTTTTTTATTTCGTTTCAATGGAGAAAGGATGATTGATGCAGTATAAATAGTGTAGGTATTTAATAAAATGTCGTTTGTATGATGAATGAATACAATATGTATTCGAGTATGTATGTGAAATAATCATGACATTTTTCTTCTTCATTTACGATCACTGCCTTGGGCGAGTCACATGGAACATTTTACTATATTTATAGACGAAATACACACGATATAAAAAACGTAGATTGTTGTTACAGATATTACAGTTTTATATTTTTTCAGCTGTACCTATTTATGATACTTATTTGCAGAATTGCGGCATGACATATCTGCGAAGATGTAGCGTGTCAGATTATAGATTTAATTGTTAGAAGAATATTAATTTGAAAAAAAAAACGATCTTGAAATTCTCAAAGCTCAGGTTTATAGATTTTAGAATACTTATAAAACAGTATCTTACGGATATGTACGAAACTTCTTTATGCATATGGACTATTTAATATCGTAAAAATAAAAGATATACGTTAATATTTAAACACTCATTTCATTTTTATATTTTTGTGTATCGTATCTTGGATTGAATAGTATTGGTTGACGTAATTAAAAGTATCGAATAGATTGTTCATTGTTCTTGTCGTTCATATTATATGCTCCGCTTGGCGATGTACTTCTTTTTTCTTTTTTCTTAGCATAAAGCAGATTCTTAGTTCGTCAAAGGTCTTGCAAAAAATGATTCTCACTGGACGCTGCTTAATACCTTCGTATGATTTATCGATTTATAATTTATATTCGCATTACTTAATTATTAAGCGTACAAGCCATTAGCTCGTAAATCGAAGATATCTCTCAGTCCCGATGCAAACGAGTGGTTTTTGTCGTGCGATACTACGCAGGCGTTTTTCGATCACTATTAATCACTTGTCTGTAACTGTATACGTTACAATGCTGGCGAATGTTCTGGCAACATGCAAAAGACTCGTGACGAACAATTTTCTCTCGCCTCGAGCCTACGAATCATAACTGTGGGTCAGCTCGTTCGTCTACGCCTTCTTGTATGTATAATTCAGCGTGTTTCTGAAACACGCGAGAGATATCCAGCACGACAAAATCCATTCGCTTGTTCATCGAGTCTTCGAGCACTTACATTGATTTTGTAAGCAAATACAAACGAAACATTTATCAGAAATACCAATTCATTGTTACCCTTATTTGCAGAATTTCACTTTCCTCCTCTCCTAAAAAAAAAAAAAAAAAAAAATATAAGTTTACTTCAATAATATAATACCGCCTGCTTACTCATTTGTTTTGCAAATGCTTACTGGCGCATTTTGACTTCGGTTCTTTGAAGAAACTCTCGAGTTGCATCGGTCGGTGCATGTTCTGCATGTTTGTTTCCTATTATGTCTAGGTTTGAAACCAAGATATTAATAGACATATTTGTTCGATTATTATCATTGCATATTAGTTTTTCATACCGACGGAAAGGAAGTTCAAATTGTTGTAGCTTCCTACGTAAATTGGATAGTCCTCTTGCAAATATGTTTCTCTTTGAACTAAATGTCAATTATAAAAATATTATTCCATTTGCGATATAAAGGAGGATTTATATATGTATATATATATATGTTATTTAATTGATCCTAACTTTGATGTAGGTGATTTGCAGCGACATTGTCGTGCCGATCTTCCTCTTCCAGGATTTGAATTTGCATTAGTTTTTGGATCGTTTTTTGGATTGTTTCTTGGCTTATTTTTTGGATTGTTTCCTTTCTTGCTTCTATTTCTCTAAAATAGAAACTTAATCTCTTATAATTATGTTATTAGTACGAAGATTATTTTTTTCTTGAATTATAATACGAAGTTACTATTTTTATAAGAAATAATGGATGACTATACTGCCTTTCTTTTGTTGATTAAAGTTGGTTGCTTTGCATACCTTCTTTCTTATACAGCAACAATCATCATATTTTGAAAGCATTGGGCACGTCGTCGATGGACATTTGCAATTCTTCCTTAGATCTTGCGAACTGGATCCTTTGACGCATATACAGAGAGGCGTTTGGTTCTTTTTCAACGTTTTACATCGAGATCTTATGCGCTTTTTCTTTCTTGGCGGACTTGCTTGCTTGCGAGCTTCTCGTATTCTGCGACAGTGGCAGACTCTTTTTTTGCGCGATCTACAACAGATCGACCTCGACCTGCATGATTTTATCGATTCTCTGCTTCTTGTACTGTGGTTCAAAAGTTAAATGCTTATGAATTAGGAAGAAAGTCCTTTCTAGTTCGACGCATGCACAATAACGCTCATAATTATTCTAACACAGACAAACTTTATAGTTTAAGACAAGTTTTACTCGAATTTTATGTAAAAATTGATAACTGCGATTTTATTAGGTATTTAGTGTTTAAAATCATAGAAGTTAATATCTTCTTCTACATATGTTTTATATTGACTAGTATTCGAATAAAGAAATTATAGTAGAATCAGAAAATATCAATTGTACTAAATTTTACACTTTGACCTTCTCTTACACTTATTTCACTTAAACGGTACATGAAAAAATATTTTCCAAGCGAACCATTAGTTCTTCCTACATTTACTTCTCCAACATCTTAAAACGGGTGTTATATAATGTTATTAAAATGCATGATGAGTATAATATTATTCGACATGTTGATATAGAATAATTACGAGCGATTCTAAGTACATTTAATCGCATTTCGAAATCCATGCGTGTTTATTATATTAAGTAACGTGTTAATCTTAACGATTGTAGTAGGTATTCTGTGAATCACTGAAATGGCATGGGAATGAGGATCTTAAAGAATGCAAGATTGTAAAGGATCTGTCGCTACGATGCTCCATGCAAAATATGCAGGTGGCTGCAACAAAGACTATAATTTATTTATCACCCTCTCACCGTGTCCTCGACATCGATGTTGAACTTTCTACGGTCGATCTCGAAGCTTGGCACATTTTGCTGGAAATCAAATGAAAATCTTTATTCGTAGAACATACCTTTTTATTTATAAATCATGTAGTTTATATCTTCGTCGCATAACCATAAGAAAATAATTGTTGAAGTTGCAAAATCACAAAAAAAAAAAAATGCAACGCAAAGATTATCTAAAGTACTTTCTACAACTCGTTGCGCGACTGCGTTTTCTTGATGTAGTTGTTCGATCCTTTGATTTGCTGTTACTCGTAGTGCGATGCCTTAAACGATACAATCTTTGCATGAAAAATATTCATACCACTTTTACAATTATTTTCAAGTACCTTGGAGGTTGTCGATTTGTTGGACATATAGGATCTTTACAATTTTTCTTTCTCATCTTTCGTTAGTTTCTGTTAAATTTGTATCTGGATTTGATAAATACTCAAATGAAGTATGTAGTATTAATTTTGTTCTATTATTATTGCATATTTCAAATAAAATCTGTATCGATAGTACGGTTTATTTAAAAAATCTTATTTTAAACGCTCGTATCTATTTTTCATTAACCTCCTGATTTCACGGAGGACTCAGCGTTTTCTTCTCTTTTTATTATATCGTACATTTTCTTGAAACCATTTATTCATCTTAATAATTAATAGCGATCATATCCAATGGTAACTTTCTTTCGTTATAATTTATCATCTTCATTTTTTTTGTATTTTAAAACATAAATTTCATGTAACCTATTGATTTCACGAGTTGCTCTGACAGGTGATCTTGTCGAGAGTATGTTTGAGCGTTTCGAGTGCAATTATCGCGAAAGCGGATTCAATCATATCTCATTCACGTGATATATTTGTGTGATCTGAGTCAGTATGGTTATCTTGACGTTTCAACATTAGCTAATTGCTCGGTCAAATATCTTATCCGCAATATCGAATATTGAGAAATACGATAGCGGTGACAATACAAATGATTAAAAATTTGCCAATGCAATCATTGCAGCTGATTTTTAGAATTTCACTAGATATCATTTTTCCAATAACTACACAGCTGCCGATTTCGCAAATAATTTCTCAATATTCCCTTCGTATTAATTTCACAAATTAATTACATCCTACCTTTATCTTCTAGAAAGAAGTTTACATATTTTTTTACAGATAAATCAATTTTTTATCTTTAACCAAATTAATTAAATCGACCGAAAATACAAAATGTATGATGATCGGTATAAGTAATATACCAACAACTCGAACACTGGAACAAGAATATCACGCTAACAAAATGAAGTTGTTCTTGCAACCTGCTAAAAAAAACCAGCAAGAAATCTGCCGAAAAAACGACCGAAAGAAAAAGGAGAAACGAAAGAGCACGAAGGAACTTGTTCGAGTCGCGAGCTTCTCCAAAAAAGGGTTTCTTTTATCGATGCGTTAAACGTGGCCATGAAAACGTCTCTGACAGCGTCTCTGACAGTAAAATTGAATTAAAATCCACTTTGTGACTTATCACGATGCCGGAATCATGGCGGAAGCAACCAAATACTCGCTGCGGGTCGAATTAATTAACCGACAAGTTGAGTAGGTAATCGGTTTCGAATGAAGATGTCCGTGAAACGCGAGTCACAAATTTTTAAGTACCGGAGGGCACGTTGCTTTTTCTCGAGCGGATCGCAACCGCGATCTCGAAGGTGTCGTCGACGTCGTAAAATCGAATTATGATACACCGTGCGATGAAGATAAAAGAAGAGGGCAAAAGAGGAAGCCGCGCGAAGCGGAGGTGGAACGGTGCGTGGATTGTTGAACGTGTGTGCAAAACGGCAGCAGGATTATCGACGCCAGTCTGGCGGCCGTTAGTTGTGGCCTTGCCATCGGCAGTTTATTCACGAACCGGAATATCTGTTCGACCGTTCCTTCGGCAACCTCCATACGTTTCAAAACACCTCGAGCGAGCCTCTCTTCTTTTGCGGAGAGGGAGTGCACTCGTTACTTTCCCGATTCCTTGACGAAACGATGCAAACGTGCATACACGACGAGATTATTTCGATCGACGGATTAAGTACCATGCTGCTGCGAAACTCGCCTTTGTAGAATAGATAGAGCCGGTTTGGTGATTGTTTCGTTGATGTTTTTGATGGTAGTTGTATATATGCATGACGATACGAACGAAGTTTTGTCGCCCTGTTTTTAAAGAATTTTTAAACGAAATAAGATAGATATGTCGTTTATCAATAATTTATCGTTTTATTACAATTATCTGTGAAGTACGATAATGACGAAACGGCCATCTCTAGCTGCTTTACAAATGCGTGCTCTTTCAGTGACAATTTTTATAACATTTTCACGTAATTCCTGTGTTATTTGTTCATTTTTCTGTCGACAATAAAGAAATTTCCGAAATTTGTCATTGTTCGAACAACAATGGTCGAACGATAATAAAACTTGTTGTAATTTTCCTTCTGTTCGCACAGCGAATAATTAATTTTTTAATAAATTGTTTAACGATAAGTTTTTATTACCATAACAAGTTATTGAGCCATCGAATGTTGTACGATAAAATTCGATGCTATGTACTACACGATTGTTACCATAAAACTGTCATCACACTAATAGAAAACAAATGTAGAACAAGGTAGAGTTCTATTTTGCTTCATTTTTACATTTGTTAAATTTTGTGTTATAAAACTCTGATAGAAGACTGAATATCGGAAGATAATGTTAATACTATACCAACGACGAGGAACGTCCATTAGGGTCTTATAAAAAATTATTGTATTATGGTACGTAGATATCGAGAGTGCTTTGTTTCTCATTAAACAATTTGAGGGAAGCGATCGACCTTCTTCCTCATTTTTGTTTAAATGCCCGTGGCAATAAATGGTAATAGGTCGTTATTCATCATAAACGTGTCCATCGATAAAACGTTAATCATACGCTTGGTTATAATTGCGATCTGAAAGGAAATTATTTGAATATATCATATCGATGAAAAATAATTTGATGTAGTAAATGCGAATTATATTCGTTATTTTCTTGCTTGTTTGTCCTGTCAATATACGTGCATACGTGGTAAGATTAGCACGACCGTTGAACCAATTATTTATATTTGAAGAAGATAAAAAATGTTATTAAAAGTGTTATTTTGTACGATAAAGTAGAATTTGATTTATTTTGTGGCGTAGATTATAATTGGCTACATATTCGGAATACGGATAGTCCGAAGATATTGAAATGGAAGTGTACTGATTTAGATATTGATAGCCGTATTTAATATATTTAACAATGGAGGATATAGAATTTGATTAATTTAAACAGTAACAAAAATTAGGTTTATCGTAGGTCGATAAATATATACGATGCTTAGTAAATATTTGATAATTCTATTAAGCATTTGCAGTTTAACGAGGCTAATCGATAAAAGAATAAGTTGGGCTTGGCAGCGAGCCATAAATTTTTTAGTAAAACTAATACAGCAAGACTTAATTAGAAACGAGTTTTCGAACATTTCAAATGTAGGCAACACCTCTTGCTTTTGGTAATTAAAACTGTTTGTATTTCTACTACATATCGTAATCGATAGACAGTAAAATACTGCTACAATTAATTGTTTCTCAAAGGAGAATTTTTATATCGACTTTGCTGTACCAATGTAAAGAAAAAATACAGTTACTTCGCGGTAACTTCTAACATTGTCTCAAATCTGAGGACTCCAACCCTGTAGACAGTAACTTAAAATAACCAAGCCCTTAAACACCTAAAGAAAAGATCTTCATAAGCGTGCGAATACTATTATTAGTTGCCTAAAAGTCTTCTGGCGGAATTCAACGGTAGTGTTGCTAAAATCCGCGCGAAACGAGACGTTCCAGGCGTCTACGTTTAAATTTAAACTCGTTCCAAACGCTCCCTAACAATTCCTTCAGGACATTTCGTCGCAACGCGCGTATTGCGATAATCAACATATAGACACGTACACGCCAACGTACTTTATTACGGGCATTGTTATGAAGTGTTAATAATTAAGAGTCGGCTGGGCTTTACGCGAAAACCATTACCGTCTATTTTTAAGCGTCGCGAAACGAGACTTCAATGCGTTCACGAACGCCATAATGGATCCGCGTGAAAGGATATTCTTTGTGCTCTTTATTGGGCAAACTGTAACGAGCGGCGGACATGTTACGCGCGCTTTATAACGCATTGTGAAAACCGTCTTCGCGTTTTTTCGACGACTAGAAAGAGAACTTTGAGCCCCGAGGTTTCGCGGATGATAATTACGGTAAAAGGGAATTTCTGCAGTTTTCGTGGTGGCAAGAGCGCGATGGACACGAAGAAAAAGGAAAAGCTCCTCCCATCCTGTGTTTTATCGAATAACAAATTACAAAGGGACGGTTGATAATAAAACCGTGCACGGCGAGTCCAAAGTAAATTACACACGGTTGATTGCACGGATGATCTAAGAGGAAATTTACGGGAACGGATCGGGGGAAGAGCTGTTATTTCGTATAAAAGATCGGGACATTACACATTCAGCAAAGAAATTATAATAAATGCATAGAGGGAAAACGCGGCTTTTCGTTGCGTGTTTTGTTAAGGTCGTTTAATTCTGTTCCGGCTCCGGAAAATAGCTCGTAATTCTTTTCTCACGAAGGAAGGATAAGCCGATGGATCGTCGCAGGAATTGTATACGGTTATACGTTTGATCTTATAATTAATAACGTTGCGATAAAGAATTGTTATGCACGATAAAGAGATAGAGACGAACGAGTTTAGTATTGCAATTATAAGAAATATATATGAGGAACTAGAATTTTTAATTTGTAAATTAGAGAGAATTTTATGCTGCCGATTAATATCTATTGAGATAAGATTTAATGAAGACATTGTTTAAAATGCTGGCCCCTTGTGGTAACGCAAGCATTACATTTAACAGTGATAGTTATAATTGGAATAAGGAATTGGAATAAGGAAATAAGGAATTTGACGGACCGCAGCTACGATTCGATCTCATCTTCGTTGAATAGATGATAACATAAATAAACAAGTGTAAATAAATGAGTGAGAAAACGAAAACGTTTTTGTTTCTTTCTTCGCGATCTTCTTCAAAATGAAGCGAAAGCAAGCAAATCTCTGCAGGACATTTTTCTTAATTTATCGTTCCCCTTCACGTTCCTGAAGTTTTCACGTTTAAATACGTATTTTTTTCTATATTTCACGTTCTATATATGTATTTTCGGTACTGTAATTAACTGCACCTATGATCTTGGAACATTTCTATAATATTTCCTATATTCGAATGATCAATACCTTTGTCTAAAATTGTCCTAACAATAGATTTTACTTGTTTGTTAAAAGTAAGGAAAAAATAAACGTGACACCCACGATTAGTCAAATCTTTCTTTACCGGACCTTCGATTCTTCTTATTTCTATTCGATCATACATATGCAAAAGATGACTTCGTTATATACCCGCTGTTAATTTACATAATTGGAAGTACGTGCCTCTTTTTTCTCTCGTCAAGTGAACAGAAGCTGTCCAGCAACGCGACAAACGGAGGATAATCAATGCTATCTCTGCTCGGAACGTTTCCCTCGGTAAATGTAATTTCGGTGCACCTGAAGGAATCTGCAAGGCAAAACCAGAAGATCTATTTTCATCACCGTCCCTCTTTCACGATCGGGAATTCACTTCGGTTTCGACGATTTTTTTCGAGGAGGTCGCGAATAAAATGCAGTAACGTACTTAGGCAATACACAGTACTATTCATACTTGTTAATTACTGCATGTTTCGTTTTAAATTTTCTCAGTTCACCTTATTTTTTAGAAC